TGAGATAGACAGGAATGTTAAATAGCAAGCCAGACTGTTGAGATAAACAAGGACTAGTTAAAATAGCAAAGACAGTCTGTCTTGAGATAACAAGGACTGTTAAAATAGCAAAGACAGTCTGTCTTGAGATAGACAAGGAATGTTAAAATAGCAAGCCAGACTGTCTTGAGACAGGCAAGGACTGTTAAAAGAAACAAGACAAATCGTAAGAAAGACTGTTAAAAGAAACAACCAGTCGTAAGAAAGACTGTTAAAAGAAACAAGACAATCGTAAGAAAGACTGTTAAAAGAAACAAGACAATCGTAAGAAAGACTGTTAAAAGAAACAAGACAAATCGTAAGAAAGACAAGGATTGTTAAAAGAAACAACCAGTCGTAAGAAAGACTGTTAAAAGAAACATCCAGTCGTAAGAAAGACTGTTAAAAGAAACAAGACAATCGTAAGAAAGATAAGGACTGTTAAAAGAAACAAGACAATCGTAAGAAAGATAAGGACTGTTAAAAGAAACAAGACAATCGTAAGAAAGATAAGGACTGTTAAAAGAAACAAGACAAATCGTAATAAAGAGAAGGACTGTTAAAAGAAACAACCAGTCGTAAGAAACTGTTAAAAGAAACATCCAGTCGTAAGAAAGACTGTTAAAAGAAACAAGACAATCGTAAGAAAGACAAGGACTGTTAAAATAAACAAGACAATCGTAAGAGAGACGAGGACTGTTAAAAGAAACAAGACAATCGTAAGAAAGACAAGGACTGTTAAAAGAAACAACCAGTCGTAAGAAAGACTGTTAAAAGAAACAAGCCAATCGTAAGAAAGACTGTTAAAAGAAACAAGCCAGTCGTAAGAAAGACTGTTAAAAGAAACAAGACAATCATGAGATAGACAAGGTCAGTTAGAACCAAAAAATCAATCGTAATACAGACAGGAACTATTATAAACGGCTGTGACTGAGACAATGTCTTTGTGACGTGAGAAGATGGTCATGATAGGCAAAGACAGTAAGAAAAGAAAACCGAGCTGAGAACTAAGTGTTCCATTGATTCGTGAATGAACTCTCATTTTCTTCGTTAAACGAAAAATACGGGTAAGGCTTTTCATCAACGTCTGTTCGTGTAGAATGTTTAACACAACGTGTTAGCATCAGTCTCTGTTTCCCAAGTGTGATGTAGCACAAACTAACTTTTTCTTTGATCTAATACGCTGCTGAGAATCATCTTGATTTTGAATGTTCATTTTAAAAAGTAAGCGATTATTATAATATTGATTATTTTGTGTACACGGGTATGAGGAGACTGAATATTTTGTGCGATTAGTTATAGTGTGCAGACGATTATAATGAGATTGAATATTTTTTATGCACAGGTATGATGATATTGAGTATAGTAAGTACCCGGTTATAGTGAGATTGAGTATTGTGAGTACACAGTTATGAGGAAATTGAGTATTGTGAGTACACAGTTACGAGGAGATCTAGTATTATGAGTACACAGTTATGAGGAGATTTAGTATTATGAGTATTATGAGTTATGATGTATATGCATCGTAACGAGACTTAGTATTGTGCGTACACGATTATGAGGAGATTGGGTATTGTGTTGTATGGTTATGGTGAAGTTTTCCACTCAGTGTAATGGAGTCTTGTGAACTTAATTTTGTTTAGCCACGCATACACTAAAAACAGAAACACCTTTCTTCTCTATCTGAAATACTAAAAACTTCTTATTTTTCTGCGTGTTATTGTGTAGCTTTACCCAAAGAACAATACCGGTAAGTACAGGACGAAAAAGTATTATATGAAAGGAAAGAAAAAAAAAACGTGAAAGACAAATGTAACTTTCAGTTGCATTTCTAACAAATAAACCTTTGTTAAACAAGATCTTAATGCACAAAATAACACATTTTCTTTCTAAAAAGATTCTACACGCGGGGGTACGAAAATGGTGGTAGCAGTCTCTCCCCTGGAACAGTATGAATACATGTTTGTTTGTTTGCTGTAGAGTATATGAAATATTTCCGTCCTGGAACTACAAATATGCGCCTAAGCTTACAAAACGAGCTGCACAAATAGGACAAACGTGCCTCTGTGGATTTAAAAATCCACGCAAAAAACAACCTTATCCCCTTTTTTTAGATATTTATTTAAGGCACTAGCTCAACCTAATTCAAAATGTATCATAACGGCTATGAGGGATCCCACACCATGAAAAAACAGTTTCTACTATTTACAGCTTACTGATTTCATTTCCCTTTCACTGAATGCTACACCAGGTAGAAATATCGTTTCTCTACCACTTACAGATGATGTACTGATTTCACTTTCCTATGGTTCCCCATAAATGTACATACCGTATTCACCCGATTATAGGACGATCTCGAATACACGGCGACCTCTCATTTTCAGAAACCATAGGAAATAACAAATTAAGTGTCATAACGTCCCTTTTTATGTCCCCAAAATCAATACTATAACTGAACAGCCTGGAGGTGGATTAGTTGCAAGGGTAAGCGATGACCTTGAGCGAATATCTGGAGCGCATGTGTAGACGGATACTATCTGGACATTCAGGAATGCGACAGGCTAGAGTAGCAGGAAGGGGCCTGTGGTCAGCTGCGATTATAAAGCGACTACGAATGTTAAAGCCTAATTATTCATAAAAAAAAATCGCCTTATAATCAGACCAATACGGTATATAGATTAACTCACTTCTTCCTAACTACCATGCCTGTATAAAACAAGTGTTTCACCAAAACACAGAAAAATCTCCTTTCCCTCCCACCTTATGTTTCTTTCTTCTTCTTCTTCTTCTTTTTTTTTTTACAAAAGAGATTTGATAAACTAACTTTGTTTCCATGACATCACAGAAACAAAAACGAGACATTTCTGAACTTAGCAGTAAGAAGAGGTTAATTCTGTTTTGTTTTTTTAACTGTAGATTAAAGATCTACTTACGTTAAAATCCACCTGTTGCGGCATCCGTACTCCTGGTCTGGGCCCACCTGGATACCGTGGTGACATAAACGCCTGGAAACAATAATAAAGAAACTAAACAACAATGCTATATATCTAACTACAAAGATACTCTTAACGTATTTAACAAATAATGATTTTGACAATCATATAAGAAACAAATACTGGAATTAATCACGCAAAAGAACAATAATGTAAGAAACAGTGTAAGTAACTCAACATTTCGGACAATGAAAATGTTATAAGATACAGACTCCCTCCTAATCAGTGACGTTTCTGTTAAACTAAATAAGAGAACATAAACATATAACAATAATAAAACACATGTTAAAAGAAATGCATTCTGCCCTCTTTCATATGCTTTTGTTGTTGTTGTCATCGTGTGTGTGTATGGGGTGGGGTGGGGTGGCTGTCCTGTTGGATATTTGGGAGAACAGACCACAATGCATGCATAAAATACATTTATTGCAGCTAAACACTATCGTTATCATAATGTTCAGCTATAAGAATTAAGGAATTTTCTTACCATTGGCTAGGAGGAGGATCCCCCTTTACCCCCCCCCCGGATTATCTAACGGTTTGATTTCTAGATAATAACTTTAGTGTGAAAATTGCACCATTTCAGAGAAACCTCTACAAAAATCTTGGAGAATACAATCAGACCATATTTAACAACACTGTTCTTTCGGTACTTGAATACTTCGCGCCACATCAGTTACCAAATAGGATACCCCCTCCCACTTTAGTAAGATTCTATAAGAAAACCCCTGGAATAAAGAATATTTAATTGTTTTTTAAAAAAAAACAGATATTCTTTTGAACACAAGCTTTTCTCGTCAACAAAATTATCACTTACATTCGGGTTTAACATTTCAGCAACTCCACACTCGAAAAGCAATCGTCTTTTAAAATAACAAATTCCGCCAGGGAATTTTTTACTCTAGGTTTTCTTTTTGTAGTATTTAGGACACTATAAAGATTTGTTAATTACAGGTTAAAATAATACTAATGTTTTAACAGTTCGAACAGTTTCAAACGTAAAGGTGACTGTCATTCTATCGGTGTCGAATGAGAAGTTTGTCACCAATTAACGCACAGACGAACAAAGAGCGAGTTAGAGAGAAAGTGGTTTGGTTTGTTGTGAATGTCGCGCAAAGCTGCTCGAGGACAATCTTAGCTGTCCGTCCCTAATTTATAAATGATAAACTGGGGGGGGGGGAGCATGTAGTGAACACCACCTACCACCAACTTTTGGACTACTTTAATCGAATAGTGAGGTTGGTTGATCGTCAAATTTAACGTCTCCACAGCTAAAAGGACGAGCATGTTGATGAAGTTCGAGCCCGCGACCAGCAGATTGCGAGTTCTAACAATATATTCCTTGCTCTGGAATCTTCAGTAATGTGAACTACATTGCAGAGATACTGTCAAGATGCACGGTCGTCAGATAGAGCATGATCGGACTTGGCTACATGGACTGTAACGATGTAGTGATGTTCCAAAATAGTTTTAGTATAACGTACTCAAACCTTTGTAGAAACAACGACCATCAGTTTGTTCTGTTTTGAATTTTGCGCATAGCTACACGATGGTTATCTGCGTTAGCCGTTCCTAAGTTAGCAGTGAAAGAGTAGAAGGGAAGGCAACTATTCATCATCACCCACTGCCAACTCTTGGGCTACTCTTTTACCAACGAATAGTGGTATTGACAGTCACATAATAATGCCCCCATGGCTGAAAGGGACTGGGATTCGAACCCGCGAACCTTAGCTTGCGAGTCAAGCGCCCTAACCACCTGGCCATACCGGCCGTGACCATCAGACTAAACACGGTCGACGATGACGAAATGAGTTCCAAGGGCAATGGAGTCACTAAGAAATCGTTCTTTTCAAACCTTCCTGCTCTCTCTCCCAGGAACCTAGTTATTGCTTTTGAACAGAAACGTATTACGATTAAACTAATAAGAGTAACAATTAGGTGGATACCATAAGATGTAATTAAAGTGAAACAAAGCGAAAGATATTTAATTTGAAATTGAAATAATAACGTAACAGGAATGTAGCAAAACAGAAAGAAAAAAGGTTATAATAGCTGTAACGGAAAAAAAATCTAGTCAACGTTTTGACCATTCGACCTTCATGATGGTCGTTTGGACAAACCTCGCTGACTACTTGTTTTTCTTCCTTACACTGTATTTAACCATTCCTTTATACTTCGAGATCTTATCAAAATCTAGCTGCATCTGTTCGTCTATCAGTAGTAGACAAACATATTGTGTTTTAACGTTTAAACGCTCATCTTTTTTTTTTTTGGTGAAATAGAAATATGGACTTTTACAAAGGTATCATTGAACACAACAACTCTTCTAATGCAGAAGCTGACCACAATAATATTAAAGCATGTGTTCACAACATGGGAATTACAAGTTACATCTTGGCGGAATCAAGTTTCATATTAGAAATAGACTTGTTTTTATCTTCAACTGTTTTAAAGGAATTTTCGGTTACTTCAAAATAAGTACATTTGTTTTATAGGTTGATTTCAGCTCATCAATTTCACTCTCTTGCCATCGAGACCTCAGATCAAAGCCCACGTATTCCATATGGCTACCCTGATATCTACTCTCACGCCCTCTACCATTAGGCTTCTGGGAAACGTACATCACACGTGCGCCTGTGGGCTGAGAAGAAAATGACACAATCAGATGTCAGTTACTACTGTATCTGATGGGGAGGGGGGGAGTGACAAAGGCTCGTTATGCCACGCCTTGCAACCACACATTTCAAATCTACTGAAGAACTACAACAAAGCTGTTTTTATCTTTACGTATAATAAAGATACAAAGAATGTTACATACTCCAAACAACAAATATTTCTTAAATATTACAATTTTACTTTGTATCTCAGTCATACATCACCTAATAACAAACATAAAAAACAGTAACTTCAAAATTTAGAATTGATACGTGGACATAATGTTTTTGGACAAGCCGTGTTTTATTTTGGTACCTCGATCTGTGATAGAATTGATACGCGGGAACGTGAACACAATGTTTTTACACAAGCCGTGTTATGAGCATAAAACATTACAGCTTTATCTTATTTAACATTCAAAATACGTACAGTTGTGAGGAATCAAAATACCAGTTTCATATATATGATATTTTAATTCAGAAATGTTCTATCTTAGTATTCAAAAATGTGAAAATAAGGGGTAGGGGTAACTAGTCCAAACTTCGAATAATTGAGGATTCGATAGCTTTGTACTAGTTTTGTAATTTGACCAGAACTTAACCTATCAACATATCTCTTACACACGCACAAACATCCATGTACAAAACAAAACTGTTAGAAACTGACGAATTAGTATTTTTTTTCTCATTTCCATGGTAACCAGTGTTGGTTCAACTTGTTCCTAAATAGGGTAACAGAGAGTCCATAGGGCAATATATATATATATATATAGTTCCTTACAAAACCGTAAATTACATTTAAATATGTAGTTGAGTTAAAAATGTATTTCTATTTTAGTGACATACCATTCCACGCTGAATAATCGATAAAAAACACGTTCAGTTTAAAAAGGAACATTCCTGGCACTCCAGTGGAAACCTCTTTACATCTAGCATAAGCTATACATTCAAACGTTGCATACTTTATTAAATAATTTAGTTTCAAAGGAACAATTTATCCTTTCGCACTCGAACTGTGGCATGCTGGGTAATTTAACTGCTGAAGGCAATAGAGAAAGTATTAAACTTTTGTTCCAATAAACTTGAGAAATGACGAATATTTTGATTAACAAAAATGCAAACAGCTTCAACTACAGCCAAGTGCGTAATTACATTTATTGTTCAGATTCACTTTTTTCTAGACAAAAAAGAAATAAAAACACAACGCAAGAAAACAATTACGAGTCACTTCTTGCACACTGATTTAATGATTTCACTCGTAACTAATACGTTACACTATTTTATATAACTCTGTTACTGAAAACATACTTGTCCTCGTATCTACCGCAACACTTAAAAAATCGTGTTTACTCTCCGTTAATTCTCTAGCACATAAATATGGACATGTGTACGAGTGGTCAGAAACCTTCAGTTACAGTAGCTGTCCCTAATTCTGAAATACTGACCATAGGGGTGGCAGCCAGACAGCAGCACTCGTCGCCATGGAGGTTTTGGCTAGCTCTAGATCGAATAACATGATTGACAGTCACTCTTAGTTAGTTTTCTCACCAGCATGACCATTTCCACAGTTGAAAGTGGAGAACGTTTTCATCGGCAAAATTCGAATCCCAGACCCACGAACCGTAGCCCGGCATGTTAACCACTGGGCCACACCCGACCCGCATAATATAAAGTGGAAAAACACACAAATATCAGAATTTAAACAACCTCTTTACGGTTGTAGAACCGCTCTACACTTTCTATCGAAGGAGTTGGTTAGAGTTGGTAACTTGAGTTCTCCGTTTCTCTATCGGATCTTACAAGAAAGACAAAAACAAAGAAACAGCGCAAGAAAAGCGTCTACAAAGAGGACAATGGAACCAAGGAAGAAGAACAAACACACTAAAACCTTATGTGGTAAGGAAGTATACGAAAACCAAGCTTTCAGGGGAGGAGAAATAGCCGTCTTCAATCTTGGGAACCAGACCTCCTGAGAAGTTCCTCACCACTATTGATGGTTTGCCTATCTCTTCAGAATAACGCATGCAATCAGTAGCCCGAAATAAGTGTTAAAAATTAAGTTTTTCAATTTCAACACAACGGAAACTCAACACGTGAGTTACTTTTCTCACCAGCTTTATCATTTTTTTTTACGTTTTCTTCAACTATTTTCATCGGTTATTCTAAAGAAATTATTATTATTATTTTCTACAGCAACGTTAATGAGTTAGTTGAATTTCTGATTTTACTTGTTTCTTCCTTTATTTTTAAATAAGGGAATGGACAACAATAACATACATAGTGTGTTAACTAAAAAATGGTATATGAATGTAGTGAACCTTCCGATGGGTTTATTTGTTGAATTTCGTACAAAGCTATAAG